CTAAGAAGTAATGTGGCGACTCCTCACACAAGTAACGAGGCTGACCCCCATACAATGTCACATGTAGACATGACAGAGCCCAAGAGGCACAGGAACCGATACACCTGTTGACGGACGGTTGAGAGGCAGGACCAAGGAGCCAGAGCTCAACCCCCACAAGCACAACTAGGTGAGGACATATATTGTAAAAGCACAAGCCGCCGACTAGTGGCAAAGAGCACTACGCCGGCCAGGCAAAGAAGGCACAAAACTGCATCAAAAGGCCCACCTCGACAGCAAAACCACAAAGTCCCAGCACAACCACAACATGTGCCAAGACCCAAAAAGCTCAGTCTGCAAGCCAGGAAGACCCCGGAACCCCAAAAGGCAGAACCGGGTCACACGAGGAAACAAAGTCCCCTGAACCCACAAAAGGGGGCCCAAGAGGAAGAAACCTCCAGAACGAAACCAAGGAACCCAAAGGAACCCAGAATCGAACCAGGGGGAGCCCAAACCACCACATTTGCCGGCGGAGAACACCACTAAAAGGCAAAGCACAGACCCCAGCAGAACGCCCTGGGAAAACGGTCCCAACAGACCGAAAACCGAGGGGCAAGGTGTGGGAGCAAGCATACCAGCCAGGGGCACTGAGCCTAAACCCAGAGGCTCAGACCCAAAATCAACACCCAAACGTTCCCAGAGGAACAGGCAACGGCAAGAAAACACCAGAAAAACAAAGAAACGACAACAGGAGAACAAAAACCCTGCAAATTTTTTGAAAACTCACCAGAGACGCTCGCTCGCACACCCAGACGCATGTAAACAAACCGCAACGCCGCCCTGGTGGCCACGCCGGGAAACCGGCAGACGAAAATGGCCGCCAGCAGGGGCTGTGACTGACGCTTAATACACAAAAACACGCCAGCAAATGTGGGAAGCTAGCAGACTGGAAGGGCGAAAAACGACGCCCAACAGCAGAAAAACCCCTGAAGGGGCAAAACCGCCCCAGAACTGCTAGCAGGCAACCCCCACAGCCCCGGGAACCAACAACAGAGGCCCCGGGGCAGAGCCGTCCTCCAAGCCCTCCGCCCTTAAAGAAAAGCAAGAGCCCATGGGAAAGGCAACAAGAAAGGGCCGCTGGTAAGACCCAGAAGCCTTGGCAGGAGGCACAGGCTCAAACCTCCGTCCCCAACCCGAACGGGGCATCCCCCGAAAACCGCCCGAGTCTCTGCCGCAACTGAACCCCGCCCCGACCCCGAAACCCGCAGACGGTCCGGAGCCGGGAACATGGAGAGAAAGGGGCGAGCAGCACCTAACCAAACGGGGCGGCCACGGGGCATTCGAGTGGGAAACCAACCTAGCATGTTGCAGCAACCTAACCTAGCTTGCAACACGGATGCCGCCTGTACTCTGAACAGTAATAACATCAGGAGAGTACTGGAGAACAAGCAGAGAATCACTCGCAAGACTCCGGGTCAAGGTGTCAGTGACCCAACAGGCAGCATGACGGAGGTAAAAATGGCGACTGTCACCCGGAGACAAGGGAACAGCAACCAACGATCCCGTTCAAGACGGGTTGGAACCCGGAAGACACATTCAATGGTCCCCCGAGCCCAGACAGGGGTTTCCAGGGCCCGTAGGGTAACAACTACGGGAAGCCCGGGCAAGGTGTTGCTAACCGGTTAAGAAACCCAAACATAACAAGAGGGTAGATTATAGCACTGAAAACCCCTGAGACGTGTACAAGCACGGGGGCCTAGCAGAGGGCCGCCAAACACTACCAGTGGAACTATAACCACCTTAGGCAGACCCCCACCAGGCAAGAAAATGAAAAACAAAAGAAAAACCCCGCAAAAGTACACCGTCTCCAGAGGCAACAGAAACCGGCCGCCGCTTAGGTGGCAGGCTGCGCAACACCTTGACGCCCTAACCAGCACAATACCAATCCCTACCCAGGGCCAAACAAGGGCCCCAAGCCCCAGCTGGCCCCAAGGGCGAGGCAAATGCCGAGCAGCAAGAACCTCTACGGGAATGGTTCCCGAACGCCCCAGGGAAGATAACCCTGTTACGCAAGGGCAGTACTCACAGGGCGCTTAGGGAAGTCAGCCACTAAGCACATGCAGCCCCGGCACTGATGAAGTACTCCTGGCCACCGCACACCACAACACACGGCAGTGAACGCCACACAAGGCAAACACCGCCTAGGAAACTGAGGCCAGAGAAGCGTCAATCCCGGTTGACATTAGCGAACGAACTGGAGCTTGGCAGCCGGCGCGGTAGGTCCGGGGCTCCCCCCTCCCCCTCCCGGGGTGGGGAGGGCTGCGCGGACGATCGGCGCGGCAGTAAAGTGTGATGTTTGCTTGTTTGCTTGTTTCCTTGGGATTGTAGGGAGTTTTCTACCTCTCTGTTCGGTTTTTGTTGTAGTTTTTTACCATGTGGGGTTTGTTTTGTTACGCCTACCTTTCTGGGTGCCTAACCCCGGTCGATGGCAGATAAGGAAAACCCCCAACCATATGGGGTTTTCCAGGGCCATTGCTCCCTGAAACCTCTCTGAAGGGGCCAGGTTCTGGCGCTGGTCCCTGGTAGGTCTGAACTCCATAGCTAATGTCCCGGTCTAACATAACATACATTAGCCCGATAAGCTCCAGGGAGCCGTAGGGGCTCCCCACAGAAAAAACAGCGTTGAATGTAATGAAATGCCATTTTCTGGATGAGACCCGGAGGCTCCCCGGAGCTTACCAGGCTGATATGCGATATGTCAGACTTTGGCATCAGTCATGTGTATGGAGTTCTTGCCTACCGGGGACCACGAGCCAGAACCTGGCCCCCTCAGAGAGGCAGGGAGCAATGGCCTATAGAAACCCCCTTGTGGTTGGAAGCATTCTATGTCTGCCATCGACCGGGTTAGGCACCCAGAAAGGTAGGCAGCCCAAAACAAACCCCTATTCTGGTTAAAATTGCAACCAAAAGCCGAACAGAGTGGATAGAACTCCCCAAATGAAAACAAGAAAACAAGCAAACAAGCATGATGTCATCACTCACCGCGCCGCAGTCTGCGCAGCCCCCCCCCCCCCCCGAGGGAGGGAAGGGGAGCCCCAGACCTCTCCCGCGCCGGCTATCCACCCATCAGTTCTGAGGCTGGATATCAAAACACGCGAAAAAACGCCGACCGGAGGGAGGGAGGGATGCCAGGGAGCCTCTGGGACTCACCCAGAAAATGGCGTTTCATTACATTCAACGCTGGTTTTCTGGGGGGAGCCCCTTCGGCTCCCTGGAGCTACATACCCACAGAAGAAAAAGAGGGACTTACTTGGGAGGCGGTCACATCGCTCACTCCTCAACTCGAAGTCGAGACAACTGGCTGCAACCGCCGACCCAAAGCGACACAGGCCCGACGAGGCCCAGGGACATTCACCAAATAACGAGCAGCCAGGACCCTGTTCGACCGCCAAAAACCCCACGCCCGAATGTCAGCCCAGAACATGTTGCCAAAGACGGCAGCAAGAGCAGCAAACTTACGAACGTCATGGGCACGGGGATAGACCGCAGGCTGGCTAGACTTAATAACCCTGCGGACGACCTGAGAGACCCGAACCCGCGAACAGGGAAGAAGGGAAATCGGATCAACCCAAAGCGCGTCCCAGGACACAGAAGCCATGGTGCACAAATAACGGCGGAGAGCCGCAACCGGACACAAAACATGATGCACCCCCGGCCTGACCAACCAAGCATCAACAACCCAGGGACCCCTCCGGAAAGCAGCAGTCTCATTCTTCACCAGAAAAGAAGGAGACGGCTGCAACCAACAAAACCATCACCAGGACCAAAAGAGCAGAAACCCCTGCGCCGGAGGAGAGCATGAAGCTCCCCAACCTGACCCCCAGAGGCCAATGCCAACAGAAAAAGAGCCTTAGAGAAACAATCCTGAACCGAAGGGGCCACAACAAACCGAGGAGAAGAAAGGAAAGAGAGCACCCTGTCCAAAGACCAGGACAGCTTAGGCGGCGCATGAGCAGGCCGGAGGTGAAACAACGCACGAGACAGCTTGCGAAACAGCGCAGAAGTAACATCAATACCGAAAGCAAGCTGAAGCGGCTCCGCCAGCACCGCACGATACGATCCCACATAAGAGAAGGACAAGACCACGCTGGAACAACCAAGAGAGAAAGGACAACACCACCCGAACTCGAGGCAGAACCGAACGAGCCGAGGAAGCGGCGGAGCCGCGGGAAGACCTTGGGTGCGACCACCGAACAGGCAGAGCCGGAAACCCGAGCCGGCAAAGGAGATGGAACGTCTGCCGTACCGAAAAAACGTCCCAATGCCAGCGAGCCACCAGGAGGGTGGAGACCAAGACCCCGACAGACTCCAGAGAAGGGACACCTCGAGACTCTGAAAACGCCAACAGGCTGGGAAAGCCAGGAATCAGAATCGAAACCTGGCAACAGGAGCCAAAAGGCACAAACAAAACACACAACGTGGAGGACAAAAGGAAGCCGAGGAACGAAGAAGGCAGGCAGCAAATGGGAACGAAGGGACAGGACCAACACCAAAAGCCGCTGGACATGTCCCACACTTCCATATTATATATATATATATATATATATATATATATATATATATATATATATATATATATATATATATATATATATATATATATATATATATACACACACACACACACACACACACACACACACATTATATACATCTTATATACATACATATACATACATATATATATATACAGTACATACATACTGTACATATGAGCCCAGAGCCAAGCTTGGAAATAATTAGCATACACAAAGAAAACCAAAATAAATAATATTCCTGTCTCAGCCTTGAAACTGCATATGCGCAGCTGTTTAAATGGGTCTCAGCCAAGTTTGCAAAATTCCAACCAAACAGGGAAAAGTAATGCTTCAATGAGAGGGATGGAGGGAGGCAAGTGTATGAAATAGTTTTGCTAATGGAAATGGCATCTTTCTAGGAAAAATTAAACAGAGCTGGCTTACCTCACGTTTCGCTAGAATGACATTAGGAGCTATGTTGTGTATCGAGGTTGCAACTACATCTAAGAGTTCTTGGCCACCTTGACCCAGTGTTGCTACCTCAGTCTGTACCCGTGAATTTCTCCGCATTATGTGGCCAAGACTGGCCTGCACTACATGTTCCTCAAAAGCCTCTGGCGGACACCTAAAACATTACAACCACAAAGATTAGTGACCTCTATATACTAATTTAAAGCAAGAATTGCCTAAATTTAATCCCAGAAAACTGTGTTCTTATGTTCTATCTTCTAAACCTGAAACCATTTGCACATCTTTGAAACTTGTATATAAATATAAAACACAACTTCAGAGTTCATAAAAGTACTTAACGGTCATTACTAGCAGACTACAACCATTCCAGCCGTGGTTGTGTTACATTTAGAATGTCTTTACATTTTCTTTAAAATGTTACATATCCATTATTTACTTAATATGTCAAGGTTAAATTATGGCTTAACTTCCACAGTACTGTTTATCTCTTATATTATAAATCTGAAGTGGAAATTCGATTCCAACTAGCATTACCTGGTAACTTGTCCACTCCTAATGACACCATTCACTGATGGGCTTCACTTTAAAATATCACTGATTAAATCAAAATAAATTTTCAAACTTTGTCTGGAATATTAATATGTACAGTATACAGTATCATAAATGATGACTACATAATTTTCATTAGAAACTGGATTTTTGACCAACAATTACAAATGAACACTTGGCAAGGACAACTTGTGCTCTGCATTTATATGTGCCATCAATTTACATAGTAGTTATTATGTTGAACTCGACTTTTGCTCCAATATACCTTTTAATATACACAACCTTCAAATTTGGTACCTGTTAAATGGAACCACCCAGGTCCAGAAAGGACCTGGCTGAAATGCTGTGTGGGTTAGTGGCTTTGCAAGAATGAAAGAACACCAATGTTATGTACTCTCACAAACCCAGGGTACCTTCTTGTATATAAATAAATAAAATAAATAAATAAATAAATCTCTAATATCTTTCCCATATGGAATGGAGGCGAGTCACTGACTTAGCATACACAGCCATTCTTTACACATATTTACATCTTCACCCAAGTGGCCAAGTAGAATTAAAGAATAGAAGAAGCAGTAAAGGAAGCCAAACACTGCAGCAACCAGGATAAAACAAACATTAGGCTGGAAGTCGGAAAGGAATTGGCATCAAATCCTAAATTGGTGCAAAACGCAGTCGATTGCAGTAAGTCCCAGATAATTTTTGGTTGCAAAGAAAAGGAGATAACATCTAGGTCAGAAAGAGCTGTAGAAGATGAGAAAGTATTAGATAAAATTGTTGGACTAGTGGAAGGTCTTACAAAAAATAGAGAATGTCTGAGACTACAGGAGAATTGGCAGGTACATAAAAGGGACAGATCGACCTTTGAGGATCACCCTAAACAGTGCCAAACAGATGGAAGAAGTACTAACGAATATTGGAAAATTATAAAGTGATGAGGAAGGGAAAGTATGGTCGTTAAGATGAGATCTTTGACAAGAAGACAGAGAGAAGGTGAAACTGAACCTCGTCAAGGCAAAATGTCTAAATCAGAGCAGGAATGAAGAAGAAATCAATTCATTATTCTACAAAGTGATAGGCAGACCAGTAAAATGGTACAAAAAGCAAACCAACAAAATCACTAGAGAAAGGGGTAATGAAGAATAAGGAGAGGAGGAACATGTTCCTGAAAATTGCATACACCAACATAGATGGAGTGAGATCAAAGATACTGGAGTTAAGTGATGTAATACAGCTGCAGACACCAGACATTGTTGCACTCACAGAGACGAAACTTGAAGATGATATTTTAAATGAGGTCATATTCCCAAGGGGCTATTCAGTTTGGAGATGGGACAGAAAAATAAGGTTAAGATGGTGGCATTGCTGTGCTGGTGAAAGAACACCTAAAGGTAAACGAAATAATGATTGCCATTCCATGAGAAGTTGACATAATAGCACTAGAGATCTGCAATCAGGATGATAAACAAATGATCATAAATTCATATAGTCCACTGCTATGCAACACCTGGTCAAACGAGGAGCTGGATAATAAATGAGAGTCTTATAACAATAATGAGAGAGATTATAGTGAGAGCTGATAAAGATAGATCACGATTGTTGGTAGTTGGTGACTTCAACTTAAAATCCATAAACTGGGAGGCATATAAAGCTAGAGCAAAAGATTTTTGGACTTGTAGATTCGCAAACTTTATCTTGGAAACATTCATGTTTCAACATGTTAAACAAGCTACGAGGATGAGGGAAGGGGATGTTCCCTCCATGCTGGATTTCATATTTACCAGGAAAGAGGAAGAGATATTTGACATTCAGTACCTCCCTCCCTTGGGTAAAAGTGACCATGTCTTTTTGGGAATAAAGTATACAATGCATTATAATCTGGAAGAAAATGAGATTGAAGCAGTTGAAAAACCTGATTTCAGGAGAGGACTTTGTGGGAAACTCAGACATTTCTTTATGGAATTTGACTGGTTAGACTTGTTGTTAGGACATGAAGTAAATGATATGTATGTAAAGTTTTGTGAAATATATGATAAAGGCACAACAAAATTTATACCAAAGCAGAGATGCAGAACTAGGAAACAAGATTTGTTCAACAGAAATTGGGAAAGAGGGCCAGAGACCAAAAGACACAAAAATGGAATCAATATAGGAAGAGGCCAAACACCCAAACATACCAGCGATACAAAGATGCGAGAAACAACTACACGGCAGTGAGGAGAGGCAGAAAGAAATTTTGAAAAAGGGATAGTGGACAAATGTAAAACAGAACCAGGCTTCTTCTATAAAATCATAAACAATAAATTACAGATTAAGGATAATATTCAGAGGTTGAAAATGGGAACCAGATTCACAGAAAATAATAAGGAAATGTGTGAAACATTAAACAAAAAGTTTCAAAGTTGTGACCATAAATTTTGATGTACATGTTTCAATTTGGTATCAATGTGTTTGCAATAGAATGTTTTAGAGGAACATATGTATAAAATGTCAGCAAAGCATGCGTGAGACCGGCACCAAATAAAAAAATACATCGATCAGTAGCCGTGTGCGCTAAACAGCGATGACATGTTTCTATTCTTTTTCAGGTTTGTCAACTCCACACTTGTCCTATATCGTTCATTTTGGTATCACCGTGATCGCAATAAAATCCCCTACACGGACATATGCATATACATTCTAATTATGGTCACGCTCCACCCATAGCATTGCCCAAAGTCGCCCTAACGTAACCCGTTAGAGTGCACCCATAGCCACACTCGGTACACCTGAAAAACCCATACTGAAATTTCCCTTTTACTAACAGAAGTTTGTGCGCTACATTGTTCATTTTGGCATTAAATTATTTGCAATAAAATGTGCAGAAATGTATATAATGGGTTGAAAACATGGGAATGGTTATAAATGCCAAAAACTACAAAAGTCTTGCGCGCGAGGGGAGAACGGTGCGGTCACTCGTGGTGTCAACAACAGAGTAGGTCGACCACGTGAGCGTCTATGCCGAGGTGCCAGTGGGCCTAATGGGGAGAACAGGAATATAATGGCGCGCATTTTGAAACTATCCCGAAGTCGATTGGATAAAAATTGAATTTTATACAAATATTTTCTTGTTGGACGCAAATGATGTCACGAGATAGGACTCGAGAGAAAAATTGGTGACGCATTATGTGTCACGAGATAGGGAAAGTGTTAATTAATTATAGACCTGTATCACTGACAAATGTAATAGTCAAAATATTGGAAAAAATAATTAAAGCCAAATGAGTAGAAAACCTAGAGAAAACGATATAATATCAGAGAGACGGTATGGTTTTCGATCTGGGAGATCCTGTGTTCTTTTACTCAGTTTCTATGATTGAGCCACAGAGATTTTACAGGAAAGAGATGGTTGGGTTGACTGCATCTATCTGGACCAAAAAAAAAAGCTTTTGATAGAGTTCCACATAAGAGGGTGTTCTGGAAACTGGAACATATTGGAGGGGTGACAGGTAAGCTTCTAACATGGATGAAAAATTTTCTGAGAGAAAAATGAGGGCAGTAATCAGAGGCAATGTATCAGACTGTAGAAATGCCACAAGCGGAGTACCACTGGGTTTAGTTCTTGCACCGGTAATGTTTATTGTCTACATAAATGATCTGCTAGATGGAATACAGAATTACATGAACATGTTTGCTGATGATGCTAAGATAACAGGAAGGATAAGTAACTTAGATGATTGTCATGCCCTTCAAGACCTGGACAAAATAAGTATATAGAGCACCATTTGGCAAGCAGAATTTAATGTGAATAAATGCCATGTTATAGAATATGGAGTAGGAGAACATAGACCCCACACAACCTATAAATTATGTGGAAAATCTTTAAAGATTTCTAATAAAGAAAGAGATCTAGGGGTGGTTCTAGATAGAAGACTCACATGAGGACCACATAAAGAACGTTGTGCGAGGAGCCTATGCTACGCTTTCTAACTTCTGAATTGCTTATAAATACATGGATGGCAATATACTAAAGAAATTGTTCACGACTTTTGTTAAGGTCAAAGCTGGAATATGTAATGGTTGTATGGTGCGTATATCTTAAGAAGCACATCAACAAACTGGAAAAGGTGCATAGACATGCCACTAAGTGGCTCCCGGAACTGAAGGGCAAGAGCTACGAGGAGAGGCTAGAGGCATTAAATATCCAAAAACTAGAATCTAGAAGAAAAAAAAAAGGCAATATGACCACTACATACAAAATAGTAACACGAATCAATAAAATTGATAGGGAAGAATTCCCGAGGTCTGGAACAGCAAGAACAAGAGGTCATAGATTTAAACTAACGAAACAAAGCTGCCGGAGAAATATAAGAAAATTCACTTTTATAAACTGAGTGGTAGACTGACCACTAGCAAATTAAATCATATTTACAATAATTTAAACACTCAATGAATTAAAAGATTCTGGATGTCTTTAACCACACAGTAATTCTCAACACTGCAGAACAAAATTATTATGGTTACCTCTTTGAAGACGCCCTCAGCAATGTTTTGGCCTCGGTCTTTAGTTGTTCTAGATATTTCTCTGTTGAACTTACGTTTCCTGTGCTTTCATTTACAGGAATAGTATCTCTTGACTGAGGCTGGTGATGATGTCTAACAGAGGAATCATCAACGCTTTCCACATCTCCATCGTCATCTGGTATTGTGGAGGACTCGTATACATTTATTTCTCCCTTTATCAACACCTCTTCCTCAGTCACACTAACTCTTTGATCCAAAGATTCTGAAAGCTGTATATTTAAATCACAATGTGTACCTCCATGGTTGGCTTGTATCAGATCTTCAATAGATTCTGAAGGCATTTCAAATCCACTTACATCATTTATCAATTCATTTATCTGTGCATGAGCACCAGCACTTCATCAGTAATTTCCTCACTGTTTTCTACACCATTTTTAAATTCAACATTTGCTGAAGACCCTATGGTTTGAGTCCTAAGTGGCACTGCTGAAGGTGTTACCATAACAAATCCACCACCCCCTGATGCTTCTTCATTATCTGAAGTTCCCTCAGGCGATTCTCGACCATCCTTATCAACACTAATTGGGCTTGACTTGTCAGCATTATCTGTGTTCCCTTCAGCTTGCATACGATTGGTTTGTTTTTTAGGCGATGTAAGTGGAGTTATGCTTGGGGCAGAAGCTCTTCTCTTCAACTTCTGAAATTCCCTGAAATGGAAGAGAATACAAAGATATTAGAGTAAATTCATCATCGTTTACATTACCGAAAAGCACACAAGGTTGTTTTCCACAAACAAATACAGTACATCCGAGACTAACCCTAACTTTGCACCTGCATGGCATAATGAATCACTTGGTTATCATTTTGGTAAACAAGATAAAATTACAGTACAGTACAACCTCAATTCAATGAACTAGTGGCAAAAGGAGTAAGAACATTAACAGCACAAAGACCACAAATACTTGAAGAAGTGGAAAAGTTGTTATTAATTTGGATACACGACAAGGAGTTGAGGGGTGATAGTGTTTCGGAGGCCATTATTTGTGAGAAAGCCAGGAAATGAAAATTGAGGTGAGAAAAATGAAAAATAAATATATATAAACATTTGAGTGCGGGTGTTGGGGGTGTGCGGGTGGGTGCTTGCTCACGGGTAACGCTCGGGCGATTTTTGGGTTTGCTGCAGGTGGGGGGCCGGGCCTTTTGACCTTAGCATATATCCCTTTAAAGAATTCTATTCCGAACAATTTAGTACCAAAATGAATGACGTACATCGAAAATTGAGGAGGAGGGGGGGGGGGGGGACTGAGAAGAGTATAAACATTTTAGTGTACTCACCTAGTTGTGCTTGCGGGGGTTGAGCTCTGGCTCTTTGGTCCCGCCTCTCAACTGTCAATCAACAGGTGTACAGGTTCCTGAGCTTATTGGGCTCTATCATATCTACACTTGAAACTGTGTATGGAGTCAGCCTCCACCACATCGCTTCCTAATGCATTCCATTTGTCAACCACTCTGACACTAAAAAAGTTCTTTCTAATATCTCTGTGGCTCATTTGGGCACTCAGTTTCCACCTGTGTCCCCTAGTGCGTGTGCCCCTTGTGTTAAACAGCCTGTCGTTATCAACCCTGTCAGTGTGGATGCACGCTCATGGGGAAGCGCTTGGCCAACCTTGGGGTGTGCTGGGGGTCACATGCAGGGCCAGTTAAAGTGTTAACCAATTAGAAATCAATAGGTACTACAGTATATGCACTTCTTATATTAATTCCTTAATTACATTATTACAAATGCTCAGCTCTGTGCAAGGAGATTTAACATTGATCACTTCTGTGCAAGATAAAAATACAACTGTGCAACAAAATAAACCTTTGTGGGTTGCAACTTAACACTTTCGCGCTTTCGATTAGAGATAACTCGTCACTGGTTTTTCTTACGATTCCGCACAACTGCCTACTTTTCTCGTCAATCGAAAAAATATTTCTATAAATTCCATTTTTTAACCGAAATGGATGGGGATACTCTCAGATTGTTCTCCATGAAATTCCCGTTCTCCCTCACCGAACACATGGCATCTCGGCCTACCCGGTCACGTGGTCGGCCCATTGTTTTGTTGACACGCCAAGTGCCCACACTGCGCTCCCCTCTCGCGGCAAACGTGACCCGTTTTACGCATTTATTTCCGTTCTCGTGTACCTAAAACCCATTCAATACCTTCAACATGGATGCTGCACCAGGAACAAGCAGTGGAACGCAAAACAAAGGTAGGAAATCTAGGAAAGCAGAAGAGATCGCCAGGATTTTCGATCTGTATCGTGGGGTCAATCTCACTCCATCCAAGATTCCCGATGTTGTTGAAGCCTTTTCAGGGTCTTCTGATGATGATTTGGAGGCTGACGAACCGGAAAATGATGTTCTTTATGAGGTTTCCTCAAGTGATGAAGATATTTCGAGTGAGAGTGAGGATGAGAGTGATGAAGAAGCCCCAGCCCTGCCACGCGGTAACCGCACGTGTCCGGTACCAAAGAGAGCTAGGCTGGGTGATGAGTGGAATCGTAGCAATACTCCTCCCATCGTTGATGACTTTACAGCAACCCCCTGCCTAACAATTCCACTACCTGCTACTCCATTGCAGTTTTTACAATTATTTTCACTAGAGCAGTGGTTGAATACTTAGCGTATGAAACAAATTTGCATGCCACACACGTCATACATCTCATGGCTGAGTCAGCAAGAAAAACGTGGAAACCAGTGTCGGTGAAAGAAATGGCCCGATATTTGGCCCTGTGCATACTGATGGGCATAGTGAAGATGCCTACAATGAGGATATACTGGCAGACGAATCAGATGTGGCATTGTCGATTCTTCAACTTGTTTATGTCGTCTGCTCGGTTCCAACACATTTCTAAGTTCTTCCAACATGT